GAGAGCAAAATATTGATCCATCAGCCCCACAACCTGCACTACACCCAAGTTCAAAGCCCAGCTCTGCTACACTTGAGCTGTGACACCATTGGGCAAGTCATTTCATGTCTCTGAGCCGCTGTAAAAAAGGGGCTGGACATTCCCATATCAGAGAGCCCAGCCAGGGAATGCTTCCCTGAGAAATGATGCCTGGACTCGGATCTAAGAGTGGGATCTGAAGGGTGAGTGGAAGAGTGAGCATCAAGAGCCTTCCATGTGGGTAAAGGGCTAAAGCAGAAGGGCTCAGGTTCATGAAAGGAACAGAAAATAGTCTGGGATGGCTTGACCAAGCCTATGGACAATCCAAAGGATTTTCAGAGAACCCTTTTGTTTATTTGGTTTGAGGGTAGGTGTAGGGTCCTATGAGGACATTTGCATTTCTAGAATGTCTTTGACTGCAAAGTGGAGAAGAGGTGCGTGTGGGTGGGAAGGATGTGGAAAGACAGGTTCTGAGGCCAATGTCCTGGTCCAAGGTATGTGGACTGGGATGCTGGCAGAAGAGATGGCAAAAGGCAGATGAAGATGACATGTATTTAGGATACAAAACCGGGTTTGTAAGAATTTGGAGGGTGAGGAGGAAGGAGAAATCCAGGAACCCTGGGGGTTTTTGGTTCTCCTTCCCTGGAGGCTCAGAGATGCAGGGAAAGATTCTGCATTCGGTTTTGAATTCCTTGACTTTGGGTGCCTTTGAGGCACCAACAGGCTGTTGTCTTGACTTAGAGGGCAATGACGTGTCCGAGAGAGTTGTGAAGAAGAAACAGGGAGGCAAGCCTTTTGTCAGCCCTGCCCCAGACATTCCCCCCCCTTCCCCCCACCCCCATTCCAGTCTGCCGGCTGGTCCCAAACTGTCCTCCAGGGCTGGTCCCAAACTGTCCTCCAGGCCCCACCACCTCCCGCCTGGGGCTGGGGGGCTGGTGACGTCTGCACCTCCCCCTCCCCTGTTTCCGACCCGACCCGTCAGTGGAAAAACGGAAACTGTGAACTGAGCTGGGCGCCTCCCGAAATAGCATCTGGTGCCTGTCGGTCAGCGCGTGGTCCCAGCGTCCAGGAGCGGGCAACGCCGCTTGTGGCCCCGCCAGGAAATGCCAGCCCTCCTCCGCCAGCCCCCAGCCGGGGGGCCTTGTCAGGCAGGAAACCCGGGAGCACCTTGGTTGGGGTGTCAAGGCGGAGGGGAGGTTGGGACCCAGACTGGTTGGTCTGGAGTCTGGCCCTGGAGCTGAGCAGCCTGGAGAGAACAGCCCAGCCAAGATTTGGACCTGAGACGTTGTCCCCTCTCTGACCTGTCCCCCCACACCTCCCCCCCCACCCCCTCAACCTCTGACCAAGGCTGAGTTCTCCCTCAACTCCAAATTCTAGGCTTTCGAGTGGTTCTGCCCTCCCCTCCCCTGACTCTGGGTTCCAGCGAACCTCCCCTGAGCTTGTCCTCTGAGAGATGTGCTGTGTGTGCTCTGGTGGGCAGCCAGGCTAATTTCCAATGGGTGCATTTATATGGCAGTGCCAGGTGCCAGGCACTGACTAACCACTTCCTAAAGATTACTTCAGTGGATCCTGACAACAACCCGTGAAGCAGGGGCTCCATTTTGTAAGTACCAACTGAAGCACAGACAGGTTGAGCAACTTGGCGGAGAACACCCAGTGACTCTATAGGAGATAAACAAATACCCAAAAATCTCATGGAAAGATGTGCAAACTTGCATTAGGAAATGCAACTAAAAACTGTGATAACTGTGCCACAAAAGGCTGATGTACCAAGTATTGGTGAGGATGTGGAGCAACTGGAATTCTCTTAACATTGTTGAACAGAATGCAAAACTCACTCAACCACTTGGAAGAACCCTTTGGTAGTTCCTTATCAACAAACAGTTTATAAACACATACTTAATTGGGAGAATTGAAAAATATATAGCTACAAGAACTCTTGTGCACAAATATTCATAGCAGCTTCATTCATAGTAGCTAAAAACTAGAAATAATCCAAATGCTCAGCCACAGGTGAATGGGTAAACAAATTGTGGTACATTCATGCAATAGAATACCACCCAGCCATATAAAAGAACCAAACTACTGATACATGCAAAAATACAGAATAATCTAGAAAACGTTATGCATCATCTGATATTTATCTTTCTCTGACTGGCTTATTTCACTTAGCATAATGCTCTCCAGTTCCATCCATGCTGTTGCAAATGGTAAGAATTCCTTCTTTTGTACCGCAGCGTAGTATTCGTTGTGTAGATGTACCACTAAGTGGAGGGGGTAGGGGACAATGGGGGGATAAAGACATATATATAATACCTTAATCAATAAATAAAATAAATTTTTAAAAAACATTATGGAAGAGACAAGAGTATGGAAAACTTCCAGCAGAAAAGAAGTTTTGCCTCTAGATCCTCCTCTTGTGTCTACTAAACATCCTTCCAACATGGTACTGACCACACGTATCTGGGTGCTTGTGTACCCAATCAAGCCCCTTGAAGGGCCCGGCTTATCGCACAGACAGAGGAGGAACACCACAAATGTATGTTGAATAAGAGTGACAGAGACGAACCTGGAGAAAGAAATTGAGGGAGAGAGACACCATCCAGCAGGAATCTGGGCCATGAACTTAGAGGAAGTGGAACTGGCCAACCTTCCTGGTCCTAAAAACCAGCCACAGGGAACATACTTAAGGCCCCTGTCAGAGAGAGGAATGGTTCCAGGATCATACAAGCTGTGAAGACACGCAGGCCTTGACTGTGGTGAGGGCGGTGGACTCTCCCTATTTTCACAGATACTCTCTGTGCTGGGTGGGGAGGGGAACACAGGCAAGGGGCTTGGAGAGTCACAGAGCAGGTCCCTCTAGGGCAGTGATGGCGAACCTATGACATGCGAACTCATTTTTTTGGTTGATTTTTCTGTGTTAAATGGCATTTAAATATATAAAATAAATATCAAAAGTATAAATCTTTGTTTTACTATGGTTGCAAATATCAAAAAATTTCTATATGTGGCACGGCACCAGAGTTAAGTTAGGGTTTTTCAAAATGCTGCCACACCGAGCTCAGAAGGTTCGCCATCACTGCCCTAGGGTGATTCTGGGAGTTTGGAGCAATCACTCACCAAGAATGGACTCAGCTTTGGTTCATGCACCTGCTTCCCTTCCAACCAGCCAGTGTCTACGACCTGGTGTCGCTTTCCCAAGGTAGGAATATTGGGCTTTAGGGAAGTGAAACACACACTTACCTCAGCCCTCTGCCCTCGAGAGAGAAAGAGGAGGAGAGAAAGGAGAAGGAGAAGAGAACTTGGGATTTGAGGTCAGACAGACCTGAGTTCAAATCCTGACTTCACCTGTGTGACCTTGGGCACATCACTTTACCCCTGAGTCTCCATACTCCCAACCTAATGATCAGGTTAAGAGCAAGGGCTCTGGAGTGAGGCTGCCAGAGTTTGAATCCCGGTTCTTCATGTTGGCTGTGTGATCTTGGGAAAATTTAATTCACCTCTGCTCTTATTTTCTACTCCATAAAATTGGGGCTGATAAAAGTATGTACCTCATACAGCTGTTGTGAGGAATAAGGAAGTTAACAAAAGTGCTAGGTTTTGAAGGGTACACAAGGCTTTGAACCTATGGAGGGTTTGAAGGCAAAGGGAGAAATGTGAGCAAAGCAAGAAGTGTGTGTGTGTGTGTGTGTGTGTGTGTGTGTGTGTGTGTGTGTGTGTGCCCTTTCTTTCCTTTATGGTATCAAGGGTAGCAGGGGGGGCCGAGGTTTGATTGCTTGATACCTAACTTACTGACTCAAATACCGTGACATATGATGGTATGCTGGGAGGCTAGTGTCCTGAGTTCCAGTCCCAGCTCTGTGCTTACTAAGCTGTGTGAACTTGAACAGTCCCTCCTCTTCTTTGGGCCCCAGGGTCCTCATTCGTACAATGAGGACCCAAGTGATTTCTGAGAGCTCTGCAGCTTGGATACCTTACGTCATTGTTTCCATTATGTTTTTAATTAGTCCCTCTTGTCCTCCTGGTCCCAGACCTCCCGTGAAGAGACAGGACACAGGGCTCTCCCCTAATCTCTCCTTTTCCTGGAGTTCAGTCTCTGACCAGGAAGTGGGAAAACAGGATTTCCTCTGAGGATGTTCTCAGTGACCCAGACAGTTCCGGTTTGGGAAGCAGAGAGGAGATAAGGAACATCGCCCAGGCTTCCAAAACCCTAAATCCCCTTTCCATGGGTTTGATGTTTTTTCACACTGTACTTTGAACTCCTTAAAAACAGGGAATGTGTAATTCAGAACTGGAAAAAGGCATCTTGGTATCCCTTGGAACAGATATTATTAATCAACATTTTGGTGGGGAAAAGGGAACTCTCTTTTTCTTTTTAAATTGTGAAATACATTAAGCATTGTAAAAAGTAGGAAAATCTCCTTTTCCTCATCTATACCTATGGAGGCCCAGCTCTAATGATCTTTTATGGAAGCCTTCCCCTCCTCCGGAATTGTAAAACACTCCTCATACCCTGTTTCTGAATCATTGTTTATATAATCACAGCATGTCAGAGACACATGGCTAACCCCTTCACCTCAAAAATTGGGAAACTGAAGCCGAGTGATATGAGGTGACTTGCACAATGTCACAGAACTTGGGGCAGAGCAACGAGAAGAATCCAATTGTTGCTGACTTCTAACTCAGTGTTCTTTCTACTTGTAGATTTTATCCCTTTACCTATTTTTGGTTTCCTGTCCCCAACCCCCTCTTCCAATGCTGTACCTATTCATATCTCCATGCTTTCCAACAAGCTATTCCCTCTATTAGAACTATCACTTCTTTCCCTTCTCTTCCCTCTTGCTCCTGCAAGATTCTGGAAAATTCCAGCATTGTCAGAATAACCCTCCTCCAAGCTTCTCTTCATCTATTCTCCCATTTCATATAGGAGCACCGACCTCTCAGCATGGCTGATGTTTGCATGCCTGGCTCCATTAGATAGAGTTCCTACAGGGCAAATTTTCTTGTTCATCACCTTATGCTTAGCACCTAGCTCAGTGCCCAGCAGAACCAACATTAGATACCCGTGGAATGACTAGGAGTGAAAATGGTGCGGATGGGGATCAGAAGCGTGGAGGGAATGGCTGCTGCTGGGCTAGATGCTATGGAAGGACACTAGATTGTTAACTATAGGTGTGTGACCTGGGTCCAGTTATACCTTATTTGTCTTATCATCTGAAAAAAGGGGTTAATGATACTGCCATATATATTTCAGTCCGGTTCTGTAAGTATTAATAAGAGGAAGTATGTGGGAAAGCACACTTTGAAAAATACGTGAAATAGTCTATCAACCTAAGACATTATCATGGAATTTATTTTGCAGGCATAAAGGCCTCTCTCATCTAGGAGGCTAACCAAGGTTCTGCCCTTATGAGTAATGTCTAGAAAACAAGGGCACAGAAAAGTCGTTTGTTCCTCCAATTTCCTGGAGCCCTAACAGTAGACTTAAGGAGGTTACCATGATGAAAATCATTGAAATGAATCCTTTAATATTAACATAACATAGCTTGGGTGGCCTCCTTCAGGGCTCTTGTGTAAAAAAAAATAGTCATTTCTGGTCATGGCTAAAGGGCAAGGGGACGCCTTCTTAGGGGGAAATACGGCAGGGCAGCGTGGAGGACAGTGTATATTTGAAGACAGCATTGACTGTAATGTTCAAAATCATGTTTTTGTGTTTCGTGTTTTTTGTTTTGTTTGTTTTTTTGTAGGAAGCTCTTCCTGAATTCCTCAGGCCTCAGAGAAGCTGTTTTCCCAGTGCCTTAATAAGAACTTGAGCTCTGGAGTTATACTTGAGTGTGAGTCTCTCCTAGCAACTTACTTGGATAAGTTACTTCCCTAAGGCTGTTCCCCATCCATGAGGATGACAATCACCAGTTGGGGTCAGCAGGGACTAAAATGAACTAGCACATATTAAGTACTCTGCACAGTGAGTTCTAAAAAGGTGGAAACTATCATGATTACACTGCTGTGGCTTCGTCTGGATCACTCATTTTGTCTTTTCATCATATACTGTGTGTGACTGCTTTCAGGGTGTATCTGTTTTCCCTAGTCTTTACAGCTGGCAAAGGACAAGGCTCATGTCTAACATGTCTACATCCACTTCTGCAGGGCAAGGCAAAGGACAAATGACCATGGAGCAGTTAGCCACCAAGGGGCTCAGAGGTTGAGTTAGCGGACACTTGGTATGTGTGTGTGTGGGGATGGGGTGCAGGGGGTAGACCAATTGGCCAGGACCCAAACTAGTGGGTATGTTTCTGGATGCAGAAATTCCAGTTTCCTTATTTCATTTGAAGTAGCACACCCATATCTATAAGCAGCATGCTGGGGACTGGATAAATGAAAAAAATTCAAAGAAATATCATTTGAGAGACAATCATCTCAAAAGTCTTTTAATCCAATTTTCTCAGTACTAATGCTTTTTCCAAAGATGCCTAAATGCTATCATAGCAATAGCTTGCCAAGTAACCTACCATAGTAAAACACTCTTCTTAGAGAACTTTCTGTAGTGAGGCTTCAGTGATGGTCCCTCTTCTCTGGAAATGCATTTAGTAGACATGTTTTGTTGAATTAATCTGCAGTCTAAAATCATTCTCCAAACTGCTTAAGCATCCTACCAGAAGCCTTAAATTAGATGTGGTGATGGAATTTGATTTTGCCTAACAAGCCTCAGGTTGTTTTTATTGTTCAGATAGAGAGCTTCTTATTTGGTGTGGGTTCCCAGTGATAATGGTATTATTAATGAAGTTGTCAGTTAATTCAGTAACATCCCCTAGTTTTTTGTTCATTAATGTGCAATATAAATTGTACCTACACTCTCTTAGGTGAAACACTGAGGGCTAAAGTTACAGAGCACATAGTGCTCTGTTAAAGTGTGGCATTGACAATTCCATTAAAATTTTACTCCAATGCCCGACTGGCATGGCTCAGTGGTTGAGTGTCGAACTATGAACCAGGTCATGGTCTGATTCCTGGGTTGTGGGCTAGATCCCCAGTGAGGGGCAGGCGTGTAGGAGGCAGCCAATCAATGATTCTCATTATTGATGTTACTGTCTCTCTCCCCCTTCCTCTCTGAGATCAAGAAAAAGATTTAAAAAAAAATTTTAATTTTTACTCCAATGAAGTCCATAGGTGGACTTTCATGCAACTTATTAAAATAGCTAAAGCTTCAAACAATGCCTATGGAAACAAAGGGAAACACAATATCATTGCTATTTACTCATCTTAACTTTTAACCTGAAAGAGCAACACTGAAGGAAAAGATGCACAAATGGGTCCCTGGCTCCAGTGGGGAACAGCAGAGAACTATCACATTGCTATAATTGGGCTTGCTAACTATAAATTATCAGATTATTAACTCAGAAAGCCCCAGCTGGGTTGGAAAGTATTTAGAAATCCAAAGTCTGTATCTTTCCAATTTATACATCAAGCTTAGATACTAGTATAAGGCAATATCTTCATTTAACTTCAGCAGAAGAGCTTTATTTCTCAAATGAATGAAGATTTTTTCATTTATGTCTAGAAATAACAATTTAAAACAATATTTAAGAAGATGAGGGGAGAAAGGAAGCAACTATTGATACATTCAACAACTTGGATAGATCTCAAGGACATTATGCTGGTGAAAACCAATTTCAAAGTTACATACTATGATTCCATTTATATTCTCAAAATGACAAAATTCCAGTGATGGAGAATAGGCCATTGATTGTTAGAGGTCAGGGTTGGCAGGAGGGTACAATTAGTTTCTTTGGGGTAATGGAACAGTTCTTTCTTTACGGTGATTGTGATGACAAAATTTCATAGAGCTAATGTGATAATGGTATAGTTAATGAGTGCATGTAGAAACTTGTGAAACCTGGAAGGTCTGTTTTAATTATTAATACTATACCCAATGTCAATTTCTTGATTTTAATCATTTACATGGATATGTAAGATACTATCTTTGGGGGTTGCTGGGTGAAGTGTATACTCTTTACTATTTTTGTAACTTTCTGGGGCCTAAAAGTTTTTCTTTTTTTTAAAGTGGAGAAGGATATGCTGTAGCAGAGAACAAAGGAGAACAGTCAATCTAGACATTTTTATTAAATTTAATAGTTATTTTAGTTCTATTAAAACATTTGAAAAACTCACAAAGTTTATAAAACACTCATACCCAATAATTTTATTCTGCGATAGGTAATATACAACCCACCATATAGCAAAACTTTTACTTCCATAGGATTTAACAAATATGGATCTTAAGAGGATATATACACTCCTAGAATAAAAAGATCTTAAATTATTTTACAAAACTTCCCCTTAAATTTAGTAAGGATTGATCTAGCTAATTTAGTCAGGGTCATGATAACTTTATTTTATGTTCTTTTAGGTGATACTGGGCAGATGTAGAGATGCAACATGCTAGGAAAACAGACTTACTTTTCAAAATGTATAAAGAGCAGTTAAGATCCAGAGTTGGATGGTGTCTGTTTACCTAAATTTGTTGAAACAACTAATCTTAGGGGGTTTTTTTGGTTTGTTTTAAAAAGGTTTCAGTGACACTGAAAGCTCTCTAACAAAGAGAACTTAGCCCTCTTACCAGCCAGCCATCTTACAATCAGGTCACTTGTTCAGCTCTTTGCAATCAGCTGTTATAAAAAAACAACAGGATGACCCATGTTTAATTAGGAATCCCCAAACTACCAAAGGGTTCTGGCTTCTCTAAGTATCCTCAGAAGACACCTAGTCCTCATATCAGGGCAGGGAGTTAAAAGGTTTAAAATAATTTTGGCAACTGTCTGAGACGCTTAACATCTAAGAAGGTGCCTACAGAATCCATACTATTTATTTGCTTTAAAGTTTCAGAAGGTTTCAAACTTTCAGGAAAAAATGGAGTGTCCCTTTCATTTTCTTTCTCAGGATGTTGGGTAAACTCTGCTTTTCCAGTTCGGAGATTCACTGTAGGACTTGACTTAAGGTTCTTTAATAAAAAAGCTGGGTTTTCATTCAACTGCTGTGCTGCTTTTGGCTGAACAACTTCATTTGTAATATTTCTCAATACTGGCATATCTGTGGGGGTGCCCAAGGATTCACAGTTATTACAATTAATTATTTCACAGGCATTCCTAAAAGGCTCCTTCTGACAATCCAGTTGCTCAGGTATGCATGTGGGATTCTGATTCAATAAATGTTCACTCTTGTTATCTGTGTTCTTTGAAGGTTCCTCTTCATCTTCACTATTGTCACTGCTTTGTATAAGTCCATATCTCTTCATATATTTTTTGGTTGCAAACGACATGTTGTTTGGTGAAATTAAACTAAGCCCCACTGTGCTTCTGTCTGTATTAATATGCAGAAAGCTAAAGGATGAGTCACAGTTATTTTGATTTGATCGAGTGACAGACAGTTGTGACAGCTGATTTTCATTTAAATACTTCAGGGCTATAGCATTTGCCTCCATGCTCAAATCCACACTGTTAGGGCTTAAGCCACTCATGCCAACATTAGCAAATGACATGTAGTTCAATCCAGAGATCACTGCTTCAGGGCTGATGCATGCCAACACACTGAAAGACAAAATGGAGTAGGCCATCATTTTATCTTATTTTGAGTACCAAATAGTGTTATTCTAAATGTATTCCATCTAAGTAACAAAAGGTCTTCAGCTCTAAGGCTTATGGTGCTTTTTTATCTGAGTGCTCAAACACCTAAGTCTTGATGACCCAGATATATTCAAGGGATAAATACGATAACCTAGAAGGTAATCCATGATTCACAGACTGAAAGTGGAACACAAAACACAAATTTTCCTAGATTTAAACATCAGTCATGGTTTTAAGAGAAAATACAGACCCCCAAATGTAAAAGTCATTGGTAAAGTAAATATTGGTCAAGTATAAAACAATAAATAAATAAAATAGAAAACATATTTGATAATATAACATAACAAGCTCTGGTAAATATCTAAGAATATTAAATTTTTCATAGTTGAAGAGATTCTATTTGTAATAAGTAAACATCAGTCAGTCTTTGGATATGGACTACTGTGTGTGTGTGTGTGTGTGTGTGTGTGTGTGTGTGTGTGTGTGTGTATACACTGACTTTCTTTCATTAGATATAACCTTCAACTCACTTTGGCTAGTGTTATCTCGTTAATGTTAACTAATTGACTTGCCTTTCCCTTTATATCATATATACAATAATAGCTGCTAATTTTTATGGATGCCTTATTATGTGCCAGGCACTCTGCTAAACGTTATCTTATTTAACCCTCACAGAAACCTTTCTCAGAGAGGTCATCCATATCAAATATCTCAACTTTATTGTCCACTCTAATACCTCACATTTCCCTTCCCCTACTTTTCTGTTTTCTCCTTAGCACTTATGGCTATCAATTAACTCACATTTCTTATTTATTGTCTAGCTCCCTCAGGAAAGTCCACAAATTTCTGTCCTCGTTATAGTATCCCTTGGTGCCTGGTAGCAGGTACTCAATAATTTACCAAATGAATAAAAGAAGTAGGTACTATTATTACATTTATTTTACAGTTGAGAAAACTGAAGAATAGAGATTTTTAACTAATTTCCTTAAGTTGAGCAGCTAGTAACAGGCAAGCTGAGATCAGGTCTGCCTTACTTTCTGGGGTTCTATAACCACTGGTTATTATACTGTATTCAGCAACTTGTATTTTTGCTATCTGTTTTTCTGTTCCCTAAAAATTAGAGCCCTTTGTGTACTACTTGTTGTGGTAAACAGTATATTCTAGGCCAGCAGTTCTCAACCTGTGGGTCGTGACCCCTTTGGGGGTCGAACGACGCTTTCACAGGGGTCGCCTAAGACCATCGGAAAACACATATATAATTACATGTTGTTTTTGTGATTAATCACTATGCTTTAATTATGTTCAATTTGTAACAATGAAAATACATTCTGCATATCAGGTATTTACATTACGATTCATAACAGTAGCAAAATTACAGTTATGAAGTAGCAACGAAAATAATTTTATGGTTGGGGGTCACCACAACATGAACTGTATTAAAGGGTCGCGGCATTAGGAAGGTTGAGAACCACTGTTCTAGGCAAAGAATAAGCTATGACTTTCCATATAATTCAATGAAGAAATTCAGCCATTTTATATGTGCCAGCCACTATGTGCATCCTTACCTCTACAAAATCCAAGTAACTATCAGGTATTTTCATTCTCATCGTTAATATTCCCTGAAACCAGCGATCTCATCACCAAGCAATGGGAAAGCATGCTTAATACTGCTGGTCCTTATAAAGAATTCTTCCTTAACCTTCTTGGTACTTAATACTTTGGAGAATGAATAAGACGAAATACACACTACCAATTTATCCAGACATTATACTTTTATGATGTAGTATAGTGATAATATCTTCTGAATATACAGTCCTTTTCTACTTTCTTTGCTTATTTACTAAAATTATAAGCAATTTGCATATTAAATCAGAAAACATGCACAACCAGAAAAATACATATCTACAGATAATACTAATGTAAATAATTTGAAAAGTAAACTCCTAATTCAGTAAATTCATTATATACTAAAATATGTTAATTTCAATGTTTCACACTAGAGACATTAAAATAGGGTGGCCACTGTGAAGAAATATATTACCTAAAAACTATTCCCTAAAGGCAGCCATACTAAAATGTAAGGGTTCTATATAGATAGCAGGTGATCTGTGCATTCTAACAGACGTTATTTAGCTTCTACGTCACAAATGCTACCTCACTCTCCCACACTGTTGGAAGGAATATAAACTGGTACAACTATTTTGGTGGCCAATGGCAACATCTACCAAAACCTCACATGCACATATCCTTTGATCCTACTTATGTAGGAATTTATCCTGCAAAGATACTTGTACAAGTACCTGTAGAATGATTTCACTTAGCATTGCTTGAGATAAGAAATAAGAGATTCAGGCTAAAAGGCCGTTAATAGAGGACTAGGGTTCACTATATTATAGTACATGGGTCCCACAGAATATTATGTAGCTGTTTAAATGCATGAGAAGGAACTGCATATGCTTATAAAAATAAGCTATAAATGTTAAACAAGAAAATCGAAATCACAACACTCATCACCATTTGTAATATATTTGAATATTTCTAGAAGAATATAAAACAAACAAGAGAAATAATCTTGTTGGAGGAGCCTGAGAAGTTTGGGGAGTAGGGGCTTTTGTATTTTATCTGATATTCTTGTGTATTATTTGATGTTTTTTAAAATCAAGAAACTATTACTTTTGTAACTAAACTACAGCAACAAAAATAATGAACAGAAAACATGCTAACCTTAATATAATTTCCAGATTTTATCATCTTTAAAAACAAGTATTTGCTAAGGTCAACTTTGATGAAGCGGGATCTGAACAGAAGAACATACAAGCTGGAACTGGTAAGCCTCATGTGACTATCCTCTTGCCTTTTAGATGGCACAACTGCCTACTATCCAGATGCTGGTATAGACCAGTGATGGCGAACCTATGACACGCGTGTCAGAAGTGACACGCGAACTCATTTTTTTGGTTGATTTTTCTTTGTTAAATGGCATTTAAATATATAAAATAAATATCAAAAATATAAGTCTTGCCCTAATCGGTTTGGCTCAGTGGATAGAGCATCGGCCTGTGGACTGAAGGGTCCCAGGTTCGATTCTGGTCAAGGGCATGTACCTTGGTTGCGGGCACATCCCCAGTGGGGAGTGTGCAGGAGGCAGCTGATCGATGTGTCTCTCTCATCGATGTTTCTAACTCTCTATCCCTCTCCCTTCCTCTCTGTAAAAAATCAATAAAGTATGTTTTAAAAAAAAAAAAAGTCTTTGTTTTACTATGGTTGCAAATATCAAAAAATTTCTATATGTGACACGGCACCAGAGTTAAGTTAGGGTTTTTCAAAATGCTGACATGCTGAGCTCAACGGGTTCACCATCACTGGCATAGACATTATCCCTCCAGGAGGACTTTCCAGACACCAAAATGAATAAAAGCTCATTTCTCTTTTCCCAGGACTCCCAGAGATTTCATTGACATCTTTAACCAGGAGACATCCCGCAATATCTCTGTAATTACTTACATAACCCTCTCTCCTACTAAAATGAAGAATCTAAAGGGTAGAGATGATTTCTTATTCATCACACATATAGCAGACACTGAATAAATGATAAATCAATTGAACTGAATGGCAAGCTTATACCCGTTCTCACCAGACTGCTGCAATACATCTAAAATTTATTCATCATTTAGAACAAATTTTAAAATTACCTGGCATGATCCACTTTATGAGCATTTTTCTTCACTTTAGTGGGAGAATCAATTTTTACTCCAAGGCTTCTTAGTTGCTTCAGAGTTGCATTAAGAACACAATCTTTGTCCACCAGTCCCGAATCATGTTTTTTTTTCTTTGCCTGGTAAACATTTTGGGTTCTGGTACGTTCATGGCTGATAATTACTGCTTTGGTAGATGGTTGCTCAGTTTCTTTGGATGAGTTATTTAATAGGTGGTTCACTTGACCCTGATGAAAAGAAAAAGGACATACTTGAAAAATCACTATTAACAATCTTAGGAAATAATAGCATAAGTAAGGCCACAGAAAAGCAAAATAATATCTTCCCAAGTTCTAAGGTAAGTACATTTGCAAGTATTATCGGTATTTTAATAAAAGCAGCCCATCCTAATGAATAATTTCATCAGACCCTAGAGGAAACTTAGAATATCTGTTCATGGATGGTGAGCATACAATGCAATATATATATATCCTGTATTATAGGAATGTACACTTGAAACCTGCCGGGGTCCAACCCCAGCAGGTCCAGGGGTTCCCAAAGGCGTAGACGGAGTCGGCGAAGAAGGAAGGACACAGAGACAGTGTTCAGTTGATCAGCAGCCTAGCCAGGATCTCCAGCCAGGATCTCCAGCCAAGTTCTGGTCTGGATCTCCAGCGAAGTTCTGCCGTTTATTGTCTTGTTACATCCGTATTTATCCCAGTTGATTTTAATCCTGTCAATTTCTATTACAAAGGTTAGGGCGTTTCTTATCTCCATTCCAGGGAGTAAAGATTATGTAGCTTAGGAGAACCAAGATGGCGGCATAGGTTAACGCCGGAGTTTGCTGCTTTGAACAACTACTTCAAAAGTGAAACCAAAAAACGGAAGGGACATCACCCAGAACCACAGGAACGCTGGCTGAGTGGAAGTCCTACAACTAGGAGGAAAGAGAAACGCATACGGACACTCAGAGGAGGCGCAGTGCTGAAGTCAAATTCTGAGGTGCGGAGTGCGCGGAGCGGGCTGGCGGCGGAGGGCGCGGTTGGCGTTTTCAATCAGGAGGGAGTCGCAAACTCTGAGCTCCAGATCCGGGCGAGTCTTTAGGGACCCAGACTCAAACGGGAGAAGCCGGACTGTCTGGCTTCGGTCAGAGCGAGTGCAACTTTCTCTCCAAGCTTTGCAGCGGATGCTGGGACTCAGAGAGGCAGAGCCCCTGGGGACAGGACTGAGAGCCGCCATAACTGCTCTCTCCGGCCCACCCTGTTGATCCTGTTCTACCCGCCCCGCCCAAGCCCTGCACACAGGCATTTGCCGGATAGCCTCAGGCAAAGGCTAGATTAGCACCTCCCTAGAGGACAGAAGTTCTCTCACTACTGACACAGCTGATTCTCATAGCCACTTGGCCTAGAGGTCAAACCCTCCCTGGAATTAGCTACAACAATCAAGATTTAACTATAAGACTGCAAACAAAGACCACTAGGAGGTGCACCAAGGAAGCATAACAAAATGCGGAGACAAAGAAACAGGACAAAATTGTCAATGGAAGATATAGAGTTCAGAACCACACTTTTAAGGTCTCTTAAGAACTGTCTAGAAGCCGCCGATAAATGTAGTGAGATCCTCAAGAAATCTAATGAGACCCTCGATCTTATATTGGGGAACCAACTAGAAATTAAGCATACACGGACTGAAATAACGAATATTATACAGACTCCCGACAGCAGACCAGAGGAGCGCAAGAATCAAGTCAATGATTTGAAATGCGAGGAAGCAAAAAACACCCAACCGGAAAAGCAAAATGAAAAAAGAATCCAAAAATGCGAGGATAGTGTAAGGAGCCTCTGGGACAGCTTCAAGCGTACCAACATCAGAATTATAGGGGTGCCAGAAGATGAGAGAGACCAAGATATTGAAAACCTATTTGAAGAAATAATGACAGAAAACTTCCCCCACCTGGTGAAAGAAATGGACTTACAGGTCCAAGAAGCGCGGAGAACCCCAAACAAAAGGAATCCAAAGAGGACCACACCAAGACACATCATCATTAAAATGCCAAGAGCAAAAGATAAAGAGAGAATCTTAAAAACAGCAAGAGAAAGAAACTCAGTTACCTACAAGGGAATACCCATACGACTGTCAGCTGATTTCTCAACAGAAACTTTGCAGGCCAGAAGGGAGTGGCAAGAAATATTCAAAGTGATGAATACCAAGAACCTACAACCAAGATTACTTTATCCAGCAAAGCTATCATTCAGAATTGAAGGTCAGATAAAGAGCTTCACAGATAAGGAAAAGCTAAAGGAGTTCATCACCACCAAACCAGGATTATATGAAATGCTGAAAGGTATCCTTTAAGAAGAGGAAGAGGAAGAAAAAGGTAAAGATACAAATTATGAACAACAAATATGCGTCTATCAACAAGTGAATCTAAGAATCAAGTGAATAAATAATCTGATGAACAGAATGAACTGTTGATTATAATAGAATCAGGGACATAGAAAGGGAATGGACTGACTATTCCTGGGGGGGAAAGGGGTGTGGGAGATGCGGGAAGAGACTGGACAAAAATCGTGCACCTATGGATGAGGACAGTGGGTGGGGAGTGAGGGCGGAGGGTGGGGCGGGAACTGGGAGGAGGGGAGTTATGGGGGGAAAAAAAGAGGAACAAATGTAATAATCTGAACAATAAAGATTTAATTAAAAAAAAAAAAAAAAAAAAGATTATGTAGCTTAAGCATGATTGTTTGTAGTGATTAACTACCCGCCTGGCACTTAGTTAAGGAGTTTCATCCCCTCCCTGACTTCAGGGAAAAATTCCTACCTGGGGAAACAACCTTTCTCGGAGAGGTGACCTTGGTTAAAACACACAGCGCTAAGGGGAGCAAAGCATATTAAGAACAGTATGCTATATACGCCAGGTCCCTTGAAACATATGCTGTGCAGATGTTTCTATCCTGCAGCGACTGTGTCAAGCAGCAAGGATGGACCGGCTTCCGGCAGAAACCTACATAATCTTATTAACAATGCCACTCTAGTAAACTTAATTAAAAAATAAATAATTAAATTCTCAATATCTGTGAATAAAGTTTTGGTACTGATTTAAAAAGAAAAAAGAATGTCTGTTCAGAACTTGTTCATTTAAAAACCTTCAGTTTTAAAATTGCTTGAGTACTATTTTCCAGTGTTTTCAGGACTTATAAGTACATTCTTTATAAACAAAAGTTTTAAACTATGCTTTCATTTTAAAAATGGTAATGTTTCAATTATACATTTTGTAGATCCTTGCTACTTTCAGAATTTGACTTCTTCCTTTTCTCACTTTGAGTGAGAATGAATACCATCTCTGTCCTCCTGGTATTAAAGCGCATCTCATTTCCTGAGCACACAGCTGCTCACATCAGTCTAGGACCTAGCAGGCAAATAATGTGTGTTCATTGAGGAAATCTTATGGCCCTGTGAAGTAAGTTTAATCAGCCTTCAATTTTAAATGAAGAAATCAAATGTTCCAAAGTCTACAATTTGGATGAAAGTGGCAGCCAGGGCTATGTGACGTTTATGTTCCAGTTTCCATTCTATCTTTTCCAAGACACCTATTTCCTCCAACCAGAATTATCCCTTTTTGGTCTGCACTGCCTTTGCTTACAGCACTTCTCCACCTGCCCTAGAGCTGTTTGTTACTGGGATCCATGTGTTATTTCCCCTGGGTTCTCAAAAGCAGAGACTGCCATATTCGTCTTTTATATTATCTATTTTACTTAGTTCACTTTCATAGACTAGGCTACGTATTCAATAAAATGCTGCTTACCTAAACCGAAATCAGTAAATATTATCACAAATCTTCTACTTCTTTCCAATGTTCAAACTTTCTGCAAACTCTTGCTTGCTTTTTATGGTACTAACTTCAGTTTGAATTTGGCCTAATTTCAACTTTTCTATTTTTAAAATAAGGCTTTATTTCCTGGCTATCTAAGTACCTGACAACTGGAAAACTTATAGTAAATTACTGAATTCACGTTATCATAATTTATAAAAAGCTAAAAGAAATAAATTATATTAATTTGCAGAAAATTTTTTTATATGAAGGTCCCAATCAGTTTTAAAGGTAGGAAAGGCTTGATTAGTATATCCTAGACTAAATAGGTATTTCATAAGAGATGAGATGCTTTACATTTTCTTACCAATAAATCCTGGTATATTTTCTGGTTATCTGATGTTTGATGAGGCAAGGGTTGTTGCATTACTTGCTCAATTTTTGGTTCCTCTGATGTTACAGAGTTGCTACTAGCACCCTCTGTGGGTCCACTCTGTAAGCACATGCTTGTGCTCTCTGCCAGCAGGGAATTCGGAAAGAACACAGGCACATCAGGTTCTTTTCTCACAACTGGAGAAGAGCTGCCAGAAAGGATAAAAGTATATGATGTAACTGTTAGTTCTCAAGGTACCTTTCACATATATTTGAAGTACAGTAACTCTGGAAGAAAGCGGTAAGACACAAGCAGTATTCTGGTTTGCATTTTTAGTTCTTAGTGATGGCCATCTCATCTTGATAGGCTGTATATAAGCTGGGTCATGATACCTTTTTGAGTTATGTTATTTATAATATATTTAGACAGCTTTCTTGGAAAGTTGGAAAACAACCTGTTGATTTCTCCTGAACTAGATGCTTTTTAGAATTTAAAGATAGGAAAGGCTTAATTCATATTTTTTAGATACTCTGAAAATTTTAAATATATTATTTGTTTACTTCAAGTCTTAAAACAGTTAAGATCCTTGTCAAATGAGAGTTCCTAAGTTGACATTTATAATCACATTACATACTTGGTGGTATTTTTCTTCTTTATGCTTTTATGTATTTTTCAAATGAGCATTTATTACTTTCAAAATTAGAATACATATTTATAAAATAACTAT